TGCACTTTTACATTAAATTTTTACTAAAATGCAAGAAAAAAAGAAAAAGTATAAACAATAGATAAAAGATAAGGAAACGAAGTTTTTTCTGTGTTTCACGTACAATTTTTTCAGACCAACAAGTTCTGAAAAAAATTCATTTATGCTTTATGGGAAGAAGAAATTAGCTCTCTTGGGTTAAATTACATACTTTTACTACTGTAATAATTTGAGTGTCAAAATTTTTTTTCTTTTTTACAAAATTTTGAAAACATTTTAATAATAATAATACATTTATTGTTCAATAATAACATTTATAGTGTTAATATTTCAAAAGTCGGATTTTAGCACGTTGATAACAAGCTTTTGGAAGATTTTAATTAAAAATGATCGAAGTTTTAATTGCGCATAATCTTTGAGAAAAACGTAGAACAAAATTAGTGTTTTTTTTTCAATTTTCAAATTTTCAGAATGCATTTTTACATTAAATTTTAACTAAAATGCAAGAAAAAAAGTACAAACAATGGATAAAAGATAAACTGAAATATAATGAAGAAATCGTCATTTTACTTTTACMAAAGCAATTTGGTTTTAAGCTTTTTTCAGTCAAGCTTTTTAAAACTTTTTTCTCTTTGTTTTGCAAAAATTTGATCAATTTGAATTTTGCTTTCAAAACATTTTTTCTATTTCCGCTAGAAAACAGTTCAGTGTTTTTGCTTAAATTTGTCTTCCTGTTAATAGTGTTTTTCTTTTTTTCAATTTTTTATTGCATTGTAATATACAAAAAAATGTGGTTCACTTACGGACCAGTCTGTATATCAGCCACAAATTATTTATTCCGCCCTAATTAACTCCAATTTCGTGCTAAAACCCCATTTTACCAAATTTCTTACTAGATGATTTTCAAAGAGCGTTGCTTTGTCGAGTGTATAAAAGGCTATTTTTAAGTTTCTTGTGTTATAATAACGCCGGTTACCATCTGGCACTTGAGCATTGATTCGGAAGCCCCAATTCCAAAAAAGATAACACAAGTGAGTAAAAGAGCAACGTCCGATAATACTCCCATGTAGTGAACCCACACGTTGTACCATTGCACAAAGAAAAGGTGTCGAAACCACCCTTGACTCAACCCACGAAACCGCCCACCTACCAGCTATGGTAAATTCTCAAAACACAATCACTGGAAACTCCGGTTTCCGGAGTGGTGAATTTTCCTCCGGGGTCATYCTAACCGCGAGTTATATCACAGAAAAGAGTTAAACGTGCCCGACGTGCCGGATTCCAACACAGACTGGATGCTAAGCTAAGACACCTCTGCGATGCGATGACCTCCAAGACTCTCCAGCACCGGACTTGGAGTTTTTCACCTGGGTTTTGTTTACCAAACTTGAAATATTTACCTTAGAGTGTTTGAGGTAAAACAAGACCTGGTTTAGATTAGATTACGACATTTTTTCCAAGTCCAATGTACAAACTAGTGACCCAAAACTAATCACAAATTTTGCAAACAATGACAAATAATTACATATCTGTGCGCAATCACCATACATTTCCAGGTAAGTACTTTTTCGTCTAATTACAATCTTATTTATTATACAGGGTGTTCCGGTTAATTGAGGTATGGTGAGTTTGGAGAATATTTKACTWTAAATGTGGTCCACCTCTKCCGGACTTACCCTATTAAAAAAAATAATAATAATTTTATATAAAACTAAAAATTGATGTTTTTTTGGCTTACTTCACTTTTATATATTTTGGTTTTTCCACTCAAATTTGAGCACAAAGCTCACTTTGTAAGATTTTGGTGCAAAAGGTCAAAAAATTACCAAATTTGTTGAAAATTTACGCTGTTTCTGATTTTCTTCTTATTTTTGAAAATTTCCACAAATTGAAAATTTGATCATTTTTTTAGTTAAAATCACTGAAAATGTAAGAAGATGCGTTTTAAGTAAAACTAAAATTTTTGAAATTGATTAAAACTTTAACGAAATTATTTGTTAGACTTTTTTCATTTTTCAAATTTATACAAAATGCTCTTTTACCTTAAATTTCAACTAAAATGGGCCAAAAATTGTACATTTTGTACTTGAAAACAGTTTAGTATTTTTTTTTTTGTTCTTTTTTGCAAAATTTCGAAAATA